CAGAGTAATGCTTTCACAGAAAATGCGGTAAAACAGGCAAAGCACCACCTAATTCCAGTACACAAGAGTGCCCTGAGCAAAGACTGGCATAAACAACTAGCTGACTATGATAAGTTGATATCCAGTGAACGCCAGAAAGCTGAGAAATACCGCCCTGGTAAACCCCTACCTGTCCTCAGTGTAGGTGATCCTGTCTTAGTACAGAACAGGTGTAACAGAAGATGGGATAAATACGGGGTGGTGCAAGAGCGTAACCTCAAGAATCGGAAGTATGTTATCCGTCTTCCATCAGGCCTACTGACAGTGAGAAATCGGATTATGCTGAGACGTAGATTCCTTCCAACCACGGTACCAACTGCAGGAACGTCGAAATGGTCACCAATCACTCCAGAGACAAATACTCAGGAAGCTACAGAGCCGGAGATCTACGAGAAGACAATAACTGCACTGCCACCCATCCAGTCGCCCGTTGAAGTACCATCAACACTCGAAACCCTGACTGACGGTGCAGATGACAATCCTATTGTCATGAATGACAACAGTGACAATATAATGAATGTCACGTCTGAAGACTGTCCTGAACCAGTTCGAAGGTCTGGACGTAACAGGAAACCACCTGTACGGTTTAGTGACTATGTGTAAGACCTCCCATAGCGGTCGTAATTCAATACAGTGTACTGATTTTCGTTTAGTAACATACTGTTCAATGTTGCTCGTTTATAGTTATGCATTCTAGTACGATCTTGTAAGGGAGGGAGATGTAAGATAACTGGAAAACGTTAAAGTAATGTTTATTCTTTATACGCCCAAGAGGCGGCGCCACTAGTCGAGAGGAAGAGAATTATGGCGGGACTATAGGCACCCGGCAGTTAGATGCGATATGATATGACTACTAGGCACTTAGGATATGACTACTAGGCACTTAAAAAAAAAACCCCCTAACCTAACCTAAACCCTAAACCTAACCTAAACCCTAACCCTAACCCTAAAAAAAAAAATTAAATTAAATTAAAGTGCCTAGTAGTCATATCATATCGCATCTAACTGCCGGTTGCGGACTATAGCCTCTACACGCTCCTGTGATTTAAGTTGATTTGAACAATATAATAATTAATATGTAACAAGCAAGACAGTCGTTGGAATCTGTATTCGAATGTCTCAAGAACACGAGATATATAACAGAACTTACGGGCGTAATTGGCTAACTAAATATGTAGAAGTAGAAATCTAGATATGTGTTTATTAATAAACGGTCTAATATATTTTATTGTAGATCAAATGATGAGGTAAACATGCAGGTATCAGATAAGAACATACTGGTGAGTCTGGATGTTTGTGCGAGTGATGAATGCCAGGATTGCTCTGCTCTGGTAAGCAACAAAGCTGTTTAACCGTTTTACTTTACCGACATTTTTCTATGTACGCAAGTTACCTATAGTGATTGATGACTTGGTATAGGTTGTGAGATTTGTTCGGAAATTATTTCTCTTTATGTTCATACTAACTAGAGTTAATGAGTAATATCAGGGGTGAATAATGACACATTTGTAATTATGCACCCCTGGTAATATTAATCATTATATCAAAATGTTTTTAAACGTGATGGACCTGAAGGGTATCTTTATATGTAGTAACATGCTGCTTGCAGAGATGTTCCTTTTGATTACTTGTTAACTTAAATTAAGTAATAGAGATGTTTTACACTAGTTTAGAACCACTACGTCACTCAATAAGATGCACATTTGTCTGGTGATTGCTGATTTCAAGGGAATTGTTGTTATATGAAAGATTGTGGCTGCATTGTTTGTTATTTTATATACCATAACGCATAAACCCATGGTAATTTTTATCCTGGAGTAATCAGTAACATGCTTCTTCCTCAGCTCTGTATGTGCTGTTGTTGTCTGTGATGCCTATCACTTCCTATTGTTGCAGAAGTGCAAGGTGTGTCGAAGTTGTCTGACAATAGAGGACAAGCTTCACTTGAAGCAAGCATTCTTAGAGCACTCCAACAGACTTGGCTGCAGGCGCTTGTATCCCAGACCGATGGTATAATACTTTGATGAGCGTTTTGTTGATATTTAAGCAGATTATATTTATTTTTACATATGAATAGTGTAACCATCCATGCGTTCGCATGTTTCAATAGTGCAAAGTATAGCATTATGTTTTATATGCTAATTGTATACATTAATGTAGTGATGATGGTAATACCCCTTGCTAATTCATAAATGCCTCCCAGGGAAAACGTAAACGTTCGAAATGCACTTTATTCAATTACCTCTTTGTAAATTGTAAAATGCATCCATTTATTGACAGTGTATAAATGTAAAACTAACTTGTATTACTTGCTTATATTTAATATAGTACAATATAATTATAATAATGGTAAGGGAAGGAAGCTGAAATTAGACATTGTTGGGGACGAATAGCTTTATTACTAGCTGACTTTCCTTTATTATCACTATCTTTGTTTGGTTTGGGTATTTAAGGCTTTGACCTGGCGGCCAAAAATGATCAATTTTTTTTTTCATTGTGGATCTTTCTTTTTTTACAGCTTCTTGTAGTAACTGAGATCATCGCGAAATGCTTTTAAAATCACTAATATGTACCTGAAGTATACTGTATGCAGGGTGCTCTTTTCAAATTTTTATTAGTTCTGTTCACTAATTTTATTTTGGGTTACTGAGTAGGTATTATTAGCTCTTGGTAATATATATATATATATTGTAGCGTTTTGGTGCCTTCCCACGACACCTGAGGGCGCCACCTGACAATACGCAACTAACAGTTCACCTTACGTATAGTGCAGTGCAACACGGTGGATAGTGACAACGAGAGATACAAGATAGATACACCTCCTTGTACGTCGTACCGTCGCCACCCGATCTCCACTCCCTCACGAGCGCCTCCAGTGCTACTGCGCTCTCTCCTCCGGTCACGGCCAACCCAGCGTTCGTTCCGGCTCCGGTGCGATAGTGTGGTTAGTCAACAATGCCACATCACAAACATGACAACAGGGCACCCCACCCTGCTCTGCTGGCCTTACGTTACGTCTTATAATAAATGTCAACCCGGTGTATAAACAAAGGCTATACAGATATAGGCGTAGCCAGACAAAGGGCTAAATAACCGGCAGGCTCTCTACTGCACGGCTGCTCACAGCATATAGGCCAGTTTCTATCCTGCACGTGAAGCGTTTGCACTCCCCTCTCTCTACTATTTCAGGACTCCATTTAATACTCTACTCACTGTATTATTTACTCGCCCCACAACAACACTCAACAGGACAATACAACTGCCTACTCACCAACTGTAGCTCTTAACTGTGGCTGACTCTGCGGGATCTCACCCACAAGCCACGTCGAACACTGGTGAACCGTATGGTACTGTACCAGTACACGTACGCTAGCTGTCGTCACCATACTCTCCAGTCTCGGCACACAACTCAGCCGGCCTCTCCACTCTATATGCTCATACAGAGTGGACTAGCTACATGCTGCGGGGCCTACCTCACTCGACTCCCGCCACGAACTCGAGTGTTATCTCACTAGACGCCCGAGACGAACTCGAGTGCTACCTCTCTAAACGCCCGACTTGAACTCCCCTGTTACCTCAGCCAACTCCCGGGACAAAACACAACCGTGTCACTCCCGCCTCACACACCGAGTCAGCTGTTTATTTTTCCCGTGCCACTCTCCTCCACTAGAGGGGGTGGCTAACCCATCCAACATAGCTGCCCCCATTTAGGGACCCGACTATTCACAACAACAATTGGTGAGCAGGCAAAATATCACAAAAACGCACACTAATAAACACCAGACATCACAAATAATTATACAATCACAAATATGAAACATTAACCCATACCCTGCCCGTGGTTCCCAGTGAGCTACCTCACAATTACCTAGCTGGGAACCGTGGTAACCGGTGCCACCGCCACAATATATATATGGAAACACGACAAGGGGGAAACGATGTCACGTTAATTTTGTATCTTGGAGTGGTTACTTCTGCTGATAGGGTCTATGTCTCCCTGGGTACTGCCGGAACATACCCTGGGTACGGTCCGGTATACCGGAACGTACCCTGGTAACTATCTGATATGGTTAGGGTTAGGGAGTAAGCATAGGCGACTCCCTAAACTCGTTAGTGGAGTAGGCGAGGTACGGTCCGGCATATTAGATAGTTACCAGGGTACGTTTCGGCAGTACCCAGGGAGACATAGACCCTATCAGCGTTACTTCTCTAAAATTATTTTCCATATCCTTTGATTATATTAGAATATTTATAGCTTTTTTCTTTTTTTGTGGTTTGCTGGCAGCTTGTATTAATTACATAATTTTATCTTATTCAGCATCATCTAAGGACAAATACACGTGCAGCTGAGGACTGGTTGCCTAGCAACATGAGTGTATCCAACAAGTTGATGCACCTTTGGTTTTACGGGAAATGTCAACAAGATGTTCAATGGTGTTCATAAGGAAATATATATATACTCACGCGCAACTCTCTATTTGCTAAATCAGTATCGTTACTATATTTTATTACCTACACGTTACCCACCTTACCCACCTAAGTTAACCTACACGTTATATATATGTTATAGATTAATGCCACAATTAGCTAGCAATCAAAAGTACATTTCTGAAAAATGGAACGTTAAATAATATACTGCTGTATGGGGTCATTTAAATGAGTGTACATATGTATGATGATCTGATTGGCTATGCTTAATAAGCTGAAGGTCTAATTTGCTTCTGATAATGGATTGTGTCTTTTGAGATTTTTTGGTATTAAAATTTAGGTCCAGTGCTCCAAAGTACAAGTACTTTAACAAAAGAACGCTGTATGGGGTAGCATTAACGGCGGTATTACTGTATTGTACTAGAGGAAAGTGGTACACTCAAATTCAAATCATGCAACTGAGAAGATATTATTGAATGATCACAATTTTTACACATTTAGTAGAGTAGCTTATTTATATGTATTGACGTAAACAATGCTGTTTAGTATGGTGGCAAATATTACCTCAACATTACTTGATGATAGACATTTTAGACATTTGGTGCTGTCCATGCTTGTGGACTTACGGAATTATTCGGTAATTCTGCCAGGCTTCGATAGGGAAAACAGACACAACCCGCACTCTTAGAATGCTATAATCTTTGAATGCTTCATGCCGGCCGCGGCTGTGGGTGGGGGCATGTCATGTATCACTTGAGCTTTTACTTCATTTACTTTCACGCGTTTTCCGTGATGCAGTGTCTGTAAGATAATCTCACTTATTCCCATTTGTTGCTTATTCTCGTTTAGGGGAATTTTCTTCTCTGTGCGTTTTAAGAACGTTTATCAACTTATTGATTTTTATCAGCCTTGTACTGTTTTCGTAAACACCCTGGGATGATTATGTTCTCGGCAACACTAAGCATGCCATCTCCCGCTGCCTTGTCTAGCCTGCGCTGGAAAATTTTGCTTGAAACTATAAGAAATATAACTAAAGAATTAACTCGTGTAATTTAAAATGAAATCATTTTTACTTACAATATTCTGCCCTTCTACATGAAATTGTAGGCAGCTGTTTGAGTTAGCATCAAGAATCTATGTCCATCAAGAACCTATCGTTGTCACGCGGGTTGCAAATTTCCCATGTTCCAGTCCTAGTTCCGTGTGCAATTTTTGTTTCATCTTTGTTCAAAGCTACTGATGTTTGCCAGAACGAAACATACACGGTGTTTCGTAATTTAAGTAATTAAACTTTCAAATTTAGTAAATAGTGTAGCGATCACTAGCGTGGCTATACATGTGCAAAGCGATCTTATAATGATCTTATTTTACAGCAATAACCTAGTGTGTTTTTAGCTCATCTGACGTAGTCGGGTGCAGCTTGTAGAATCGCATGATCGTCCGTCCGTCCGTCCGTTCGGCCGTTCGTGCGTCCGTCAACAGTTGGGCACAAATCTAAGCGGCTCGCCGTACGGATTCATAAGTCGGAACGTGGGGGGGGGGTAATCCGAAAACGAGTTGGGATGTCGAAGCTGGGGGTCAAAGGTCAAAGATCAAGAGGTGTAAAAGAAGGGGGAACATTTCCTCCTTAACTTAAAGTATAGGGAGGAAATGCAGAATTGCCGCACAAATCTAAACGGCTCGACCTAGGCTCGTGATAGTCGGTGTATAGCATCATGGTAGGAACAGCCATCACTGTGCCGAAATTGGAGGTCAAAGGTCAATGGGGCACAGGGCAGATTTTAGACATTTTCTGAGTACATGGTCTGACGGAGCGATTGAAAAACTTTTTTGTTTCAGCGGTGACCTACCATTTTTATGGCAATTATTGAAAGGACCATGAAATGTACTTTCCACTGACATGCGAATAGTAAGTGTCGGATAACCTTTTGACCCTCAAGAGGAGGGTTAAACATGGATTTGTTTACTGTTAGAAAGAATTTTACTGCCGGGTTTGCTAGTAGAATCTATACATGCCTGGACGTATGAGGCTACAATGTCACAGTGAAATTTCAAAAGCTAAATTTGGTTGAAGAAGGTTTATGCTCCTTAAATCGTATAATTTCTACGGCATTCTGTACTGTCAGTGTGTTACATGTAACGTATGCCACTGCCAGTAGCCACTGCCAACTGTGGTGGTGATAGTACTGTGTAGTTTTTGCCTGTGTTAATTAGTTACAGGTGGCAGCTCTCTATTTCAGCCTGTAGGCTTGCGTAGGTAAATGGATGAGTGCTTATACCTATTCTGTCTTGCAAATAGTTGTTGCTACTACGTACGATGGGAGCTTCCATCTTTAATCTTAAGACACTTAAACGTATGCACCATCTCGTGGCAACTTTCATAACGAACCCAACGAACATTCCTTCGAGAAGGTTCCTGATACCATCCCTGTGCCTTCCACTGTTTCGGCGCGTATGTGAACACATTTGGGACTAACAGGGTTTACTAGAATCCCACCACTCCACCACAGAGTCACCGCAGTAGACGAGATGAGCGCTGTCGCTCCGCGGCACTTGTTTTATCCCAAATATACATTCCATCAGGGGGGAATACATTTGTTATTTTCCCTTGATTCTATGTAGGTTACTGTAAAAATAAATCCATATGCTAATACGAGCAGCAATGTAAGCTGAATAACTAGAAAGTTCATATGTTGTGCTATTTTGAGTTTGGGTATAAATTGTATCTATAATCCGTGCCAATTTTGTAATGAAATATTTGCGTGAATTGAAATATGGGGAAAGTTAGCTGCATCCATGTTCGTCCAATCTGTCATTCAAGCTGTGAGGAATATTCTATATGCACCTCTGAGCTGCCATTTTTAGAATATTCCTCGTTTCTTAGATGAAATGCATTCATAGCTGATGATGTGGTGCCTATTACACAGGTTGTATGGAATCGTTTAAATGTTCCAGGATCTCTTATGGATTGTCGAATCTCAGTTCTAAACATATTTTATATCTTCGATGACATTATTTTTTGAGAGTATATGCCCTATTGGATGAAGATATGTTAGTTTAATTTATGACAGCTTGAGATTGACATATACACTGCTATTACAGTTGAGATTATAACCTTTGTTATAAAGCTTTGTTATAATTTACGCTGACTTGTAACCTGTGAACTAACGCTACTTAGAATAATGTACTTATTTCGTGTGCTGTTATATTTTGTATAAGAGACACAAAAATTTTAATTTACACCTATCTGTATTAATAGCTTTAATTGAGAATTCGAATTCGTACTAGCGTGTGAATTCGAATTCGTGTTTGTATTATTATGTTGTCAGTATTTTCATGAAAGCTATTTCGATGTCCGTACGAGTCTTCTTGTGGTATAATTGATAGCACAGAGTGTATAATGAGAGGTACTTTTAAGCAAATTGTGTAATTCTGTCTTCTCAAGGATTCAGTACAGTAGCTTATGGAAGTGCCATCTATGCGTGTGAATATTAAATTATTTCCTACCACACGCATTAGCTTATTGGCGTTTATATCAGATAGACGGGATTTATTAAACTCTGTTGATGTTAACTAGTGCCAAGATTTATTTTTGTAATTGTAAAGTCAGATATATCAAAACAGATAAATGCTGTTTAACAAACTTGCAGCCGGCTGTGATGGCATATGAGCCCAACTGGTAGAATTCTGGCATTTGTGGCCTCGGTGAAATCTTGATCTTTTATTCCACTAATAATATCAATTAAATTAATGGTGGCAAAATAAATGGCGATTTTCGACAGACATGCCGGCTACTCGATGAGTCTTAAGATGACCTTAATAATGTGTAATAAATAAGTCTACAGATAGGAAAATGTGTTGCATTCTGTATAGTTAGTTGTGGTTGAATTAATACTAAATTTTGCGATAATAACATTTGATCGAAAATTCGCTAGAGCCCGCATTTACAAATTTAAGGTATAGCACAAACACATTCGATACAATACAATGTTTAATGGAAATGACAACAGTATATAATAAATGTGTTACACCGCGCGCGTTTTTGCATGTTATGTATTTATTACAATGTGGTTTTAATAATTTAATCGGATGTATATTTATAGATATATTATTGTGGTTTATCGCGTAATAACGTCAAGATCGGAGCTTCTTTGCGGTTTTACTAATCAAACATGAGAAATTTCGTGATAATTTTGTTGTATCTTGTATCTTAGGGACCTCTCTTGTCTTTCACAAGGCACTCTAATGCAGGCGCAGGGATTATCTAAAGAAACAGGAAATTATGTATACCTTGACATCTGTTGCATTGTTTGAACTGTATTGAACGTGATATAACGCGTTAACTGTTTTCGATGATGTTTAAAAACTCTGCCGTCCAATATTTTGCCAATATTATATTATAATTAAAATCTGCACATGTGTTTTGGTAGAAAGTCGCTATTGCAGGTTGTTTTTTTAATTATTAAGAGCGCTTACACTAATTTTAAAACGTTTATGACGTTGAAGGTTCAACTGGTATCGGTAGCTTAGCCATCCTTTATTCAGGAAAATTATAAACGCTACTCCACATGATGCAAAGTTTTGTGTTTAATCATGAGGAATAGATCCTCGACAAATGTGTTGCTGTCTGTCGTGTCGGAAGGTTGCGCATAGCATATATTATGTCCCGCAAAAATTCATGTTTTAAGTATCACGCGTTAAATAGTGGTGACAAGTGATAGGAAAGATGTTAAATTGACTACGTCACGAATTTTCCATGGTAAAATTTGTAAAAAAAGCCATTTTTTACATTAAAAGTAAGAACTAACGTTACTAAATATATCCTCAAACTCTCGCCTGATAAAAAAATGTTTTTACGTTGGTTAAATTTGCAAAAATCTAGACGATTTGGTAATTTCTGTTGTCTAACACTATTCCCCCAGTACTGTTCAGATACTGGCGTCTCTCTGTTTTTCACCGGCAAATTAGGGCATATAAAGAAGGTATATAAGCATGAAAAGTAAACAGAAACACTAATTGCATTTTCATACTTTTTATTTTGTATAAATAACACACAAATATACTACTTGATGGTGCTAGAAATTCGTGACGTAATCACTTCTTTATATGCCCTAATTTGCTCGTGAAAAACAGAGAGACGCCAGTATCTGAACAGTACTGGGGGAATAGTGTTAAACAACACTGAACAGTACTGGGGGAATAGTGTTAGACAACAGAAATTACCAAATCGTCTAGATTTGTGCAAATTTAACCAACGTAAACACATTTTTATCAGGTGAGAGTTTGAGGATATATTTAGTAACGTTAGTTCTTACTTTTAATGTAAAAAATGTAAATTTTACCATGGAAAATTCGTGACGTAGTCAATTTAGACCTTTTATCTGGCCAGCTGGAATCACAGATGCGAGAATCACAATACATATTATATATATATATATATATATATAAATAATATATATGTGTGTGTGTGTGTGTGCGTGCGTGCGTGCGTGCGTGCGTGCGTGCGTGCGTGCGTGCGCTGCGTGTGTGTGTGTGTGCGTGCGTGCGTGCCGCAACGTTCGTGAGTATGTGCCTGCGTGTGTGCGCGTTCGTGTATGTATGCTTGTGCGCGCGCGCGTGTGTGAAAGAAATTGACACCTCAAACGAATAAAGTATATGATGAGTTTTTCGACCGTCAAACTCTATAGGGATTGAAAATTACCAATCCAACATACCGGTTAGCTAAGCATTCTATCTTTCACTTTGGAAAAATTACCGTGAAATACGCGTTTTTAGACGCTAATCTAGAAGAGAACTATAACATAGGAGAAAGCCCTGGTTAAGCCAAGCATTACTTGGTTTAATTAACAGCACAACTAAAACAATGCTATGCATACGCGAGGCCTAACCATATGGCCTAACTAACAAAGACTACGCGTATTATTAGCTCATCTGACATAGTCAGATGCAGCTTGCTAGAATCGCCTTGATCGTCCGTCCGTCGTCGTCCGCTCGTCCGTCCGCGTCGGTCGTCCGGTCGTTCCGTCAACAGTTTGGCACAAAATCTTAACCGCTCGACGTACGGTCACGATATTCGGGTCGTTGGGGGGATCGGTCAAAACGAGTTGGGATGTCGAAGCTGGGGGTCAAAGGTCAAAAGGTCAAGAGTGTAAAGAGAGGGGAACATTCACTCCTTAACTTAAGGTATAGGGAGGAAATGCCAGAATTGCGGCCACAAATCTAAATGGCTCGACCTAGGCCTCGTGATAGTCGTGTATAGCATCATGGTAGGAAAAGCCATCACTGTGCCGAATGGAGGTCACAGGTCAAAGGGCAATGTGGAGAACCAGGGCAGATTTTAGACATTTTCTGAGGACATGGTCTGACAGAGCGATTTGGAAAACTTTTTGTTTCAGCGGTGACCTATCATTTTTATGGCCTTTATTGAAAGGACCATGTGAAATCTGCTTTCCACTGACGTCTGCGAAGAGTAAAGTGTCTGATAACCTTTTGGACCCTCAAGAGGAGGGCTTAAACATGGATTTGTTGACTGTCTGTTGAGAAGAATTTGACTGCCGGGTTTTGCTAGTAGAATCGTATACATGCCTGGATGTATGAGGTAC